GCGTATTCAAAGCAGGTGAAGCCCTGATCGGTCAATAAATTTAGGAGGTTGTCAACCACTAGACTCCACATCAAAGGTGAGAGTACCTCTCCCTGTGAACATCCTCTAGTGGTGATGACCTGAATGGTTTGTTCACACACGTGAGTTTCTGCATTTATAACGACACATGTCATAGTTAATTTCGAAGTTAAAGTTTTCTTCTTCTTCCATTCAAGTAAAATATTCTAACATGCCAGCTACCACGATATACACATAAACCTTCAGTTAAAATCCGTTGATTAGGCATTTTTCGATTATTTTCGAAATATCCGATATTAAGGACATATTAAATTCCGGGGCTTACATCTAGTAAATACGGGCCTAGCGATCCCAAGTTACCCGAGCTGAAGTACTCTCTCGTTCACCTAATCTTGAGAGGGCTTCCTCTTCTTCTCTTACCTTTTCTATCCGGTCACCCCTGACCATCTTCTTTTATGATCTTTCATCACTTGGAGTTGAAGACGAGATTTACTTTCAACGAGGCAGTACCAACCCTCGCTTCTATTCTGATCCTGTAAATTCGATTCAAATTGTCTGGACTTTCTCTCCTTTATTTCGATCCTTCTTTTTTACTTTTTATTCTAACTGACTTGGTTTACAAATGATGATGGACATCCTTCATGTAAAGAATTCCGGAATTATATTATCCTCCCCCCGTTCGGAACTTCGCCGGGAGGAGGATGTACGAGAGAAGTCTACATTAAGTTTAATAACTGAGTTCTTTAACATCAGAGGTATTAACGTCAACCCAACTTAAACTCATACTGCAACAACATCTTGAACACAAAAATTGACATGTGCTGGTATTAATGGAGACGCAAGGAAAATCTTCTGTCAACCCAAATCCATCGATGTCCCGGGTATGAAGGGGGGACTTTGCGTCTTTTTTCGCAGTGACCTCTCTTGCCACAGGGAGCATGGCTACGAACATGACTAAGTTTGTTTGTTATGAAATTCTATTTGAAAATCTGGCAAATTTATTTGATTCTAGGAGACCCATCCGAACTTCGAGATTATATGCTTGGAAGATTTAATGTTCATAACTCAAAGTGGCTTAAGCTCTCGAACCTATGCTGGGAGGATTGCTGAAGCATTTGCCATTTCATACGGCCTAGCCAAGTTAGTAGAAGAGCCTACACGTATTTTCGATTCCGATTCTCAACAGGCCAACTTATTCGATTTGTTCCTTACCACTAATCCAGATGCTTACAAAATCGATATGTTTGGACTCTTGGGCAAATCAGACCAAAAATGGATTGCCGCTAAAAGCTCGTTTGTTATGCCTTCAGCTCCTGCTCCAATACTTCGTAGGGTGTGGCATTATGGAGCTGTAGACTAAAAAGAACAAGCAGTGTGTCCAAGCGGTTGCGAAAAGAACACCGCATATCGTGCCTGGCGTAGAAACAAATGCAAAGAAACTGGATCGTCGCTACGGCTGCTATATAACTAAAGAGGCTGAGAAGTTACACAACCAACAAGTGTGTAATCGACTTTTGGATTGCCCTACTGGATCCATTGCCAAAACCTTGGGAAAATATTTAACATCTTGTTCCTTTCCACCTTCCACCTTCCAGGACAACAATTCCATTGTAGTGTTGTCAAAGAAAGATCTCTTTGCCAAAAAATTTGCATCCAATTCTACGATGTAGGACAATGGCAGAGCGCCACAGGTGCTGCCACCCAATGGTTCTTACATGGACAACGTTGTGTTTAGATTAGGAAAATTCTTCTGCAACTTGACACTGGGAGATCTTGTGATTCCGATGGCATTCCACCAATTGTCCTCGAAGCTTGCGCACAATGGCTTCAGTTCTTTGCAAACTTGTTGCACTCTCTTACAGGCGAGGCGTTTTCCGGTCTATCTGGAAATGTGCCAGAGAGCAGCTCATCCCAACTTGACTATCAAAAAACATGGCGGATCCAGAATTGTACCATTGGAAATCTCCAAGGTTCTTGATCAGGTGTGGTATGAAGGTCTCCTCAACAAACTTCCATCGTATTATTTTTCCGAACGAATTTTGCCATTGCTGGGGTGCTTTTCAAAAGGCCACTGCATGTTGCGGTCGATGGTGTGTCTTCTGATACATTGCCTATAAATACCCGCGTTCCCAAAGGCCCAATTCTGTCCCCAACACTGTTTCTCATTTTTATCACTGGTTTGTTAAATGTGACAAGAAACTCCATATACAGCTTTGTGGATGATAGTAGCTAGATGGCATCTTTCTCTTCTGACAAACCGCTTACTGCATCAGCCACTTCCACACGCCTCGCCCGAGAACAGATTCAAGCAACGAAGCAACAGTATTCTCGAAATCTTCTGCCTATGATAACTCAGTTTTAAGGATGACGGGGCAAAACATTTCTATCAATCCGCCAGTATTTCTTCTTGGGGTGATCGCATCGGCCAATTTGTCTTGGCATGAATATGTATCTTCGATCGCCAAAACCGCTTCTCAAAAATTGGGATTTTTGTTAAGTGCAAAAAACTTTTTCACTTCTGCGCAACTTCTTCTCCTTTATATGGCTGAAATCAGACCATGTATGAGATACTGTTCCCACATCTGGAGCGATGCTCTCAAGCATTCCTTGGCTCTCAGGGAGTACAAAGAAGAGCAATAATCGAAGATCGATAATCTAAGTCTCAACGATTCATTGCAATCTTTCGAACATGGACGCAAGGTGGTCGACTTGTCGTTATTCTATCGCTATTACCATGGGATATGTCTGATGATCTGGCCTCATTCCAGGTAGGAGGTTATTTAGGATCCGCAAGAAACTCTGAGGCATCCCATCCGTATGTGTTAAAAACGGCTACCCCTAGGACCACTAAATATAGGGCTTCTTTCTGGTGTTACTGCCACCTCTGGAACTCGCTGCCTCCTACTTCATTTCCTGACCAATTTAACCTTAACGTGTTCATGCGGAGGGTAAATTTGCTCATGGTACCTACCGCTTAAGTAGTATAGACTTTATCTCTTGTGAGCGGACCAATTGTATGTATAAAAAAAAATATAATATTCCAGTACTAATATTTCTATTCTGATGGAAATATTTCAGACAATTGCCAATAGATCATATTACATATCTTAGACTGGCGAAGATCGGTATTTGAGGGAAAACGCACTTTGGTAGAACTTCTCCTCTCCCAAACTGGTCACACCTTATGGATCTACCAAAAGATGCGACTGTTGCGGAGGAATTTAGTTTCGAGAAAGAAATTTCCATCACACTAAGCACGAAAAACAGATAGAACATACAATATATTTCGTCCTTAAAAACGAACACCTTCAAAATGGTCAGACGGTTCCAAAACAACTAGAGGATTTCAAAAATATTCCAAATTATTAGAGCATTACCAAACTTTTTTTCTTTTCATAATATACCCTGACGATAAATAATTCAATAGTTTTTTCAATTTTTAACGAACAATGATACTGGGAAAAGAAAACTCAATTAGATAATATTTGTATACCTACGCACGCAATCCTCACACACAATACCGCGATTCCAAAATCCAAATGATCAATCAAATTATTTCAATTCAATGCTCTTTTCTATTGCGTTATTTTCGTGTCAGCCGGTATAACGAACAAAGTTAATAACCCATAAGTTCGGTTATCTAATTCATTATGCGACTTCTGGTCGACGTGTGGTATTACCACTTGTTGGCGCGCCAGCTTGTAGGTCAGTTGTGTAACTTTTACTTTCAATGTCACGCGCACCATTTGGTTAGTAGTACCCCAAGACTGGCTCATAAACCAAAAAGATGATAATGATGTTTATTCTTACGAAAAATTTATTATGAGCTGTTGTTGTACCTAACTGCATTCACTATTGCAAATGCCACCAAATGGCCATTAAATAGATATTATTGCAGATATCTCTACGTTGACTAAAGGTTTAACTACCTTATTTAGCTTTTAACTAAGCAACACTTATTTTGAATATTGCAATCTCTTCGAATTCTTTTGTAGTGTGTGGTATGGACAGGTATTGGGCAATTTTCTTTTTTTAGTTAGAGGCTTCATTCGTTTTGATTACTGACGTTTTGTGAATTATTGATGCATTTCAATGGAAATATTGTTCAAATTATAGTACTGGACTGTTTCACAAGTTCGCCGCACTATTTTATTGCATCTATGTGAAATAGATTACGGATGTTGACTTTATCAATTTAAAAAGAAGGTGATAATAACATAACGGCAGTTTGACGCTGTGCATTGAAAAATACATTATTGTTAGATTTATTTGAAGTTTTCTAAATTTTGTGGTTGTTCATGGGATGTATGGATTCCTGTACATTTCCCAGCAGATTAATAAACTCCACAAATTCGCTTAAATAATTTCTATATACTGTTCCTATAAGTATGCTAATTAGATGTAAAAAATTAGTAGATTCTTGAATAATTAGATCAGCAAGCAGGACTCAGGAACAGTAGATCATTTCAAGACATTCCAGAAGCACATGGAAAGAACACCTGAATGCAATAATTTACTCTACCTGGCACTATCAAAAGACTTTTGATATCACAGAAATATGAATATGGACGATGTTAGGCACCTGATTCTCGAAACAAGAAAGCACCGTTCTCATGAGAACAAATTTTCTGATTCTGTCACGCATATTAGATTTTGCATTGAACTGAGGACAGGGCATTTGTTGTCATATAGGAACAAGGAACTCTGTTCCGCTGGTTTTGAGAATCAGGCGCCCAGATAGATTCAAAGTACTCCACAGTGACACATATTGCAACATTTCATGTTTTAGAGTGACTAAGGAATTGGGTAAATATAATAATCATGTGAAGTGGACAGAAATTGACTATTTTCTTGGTAGGTACCATTTGCAATGTAACCGTTAAAAGTAGAATTCACCTTTTTCACCATTTGTGTTATTTTCATAAGGTACTACTTCTCCTTAAGCGCATCCAAACACCATATATAAAATAATATTTCCTTACATAAATTTTATTTATAACCGACTCGTTCGTTTCATAAAACAACGACTTGGGATCCCTTGGATTTCTCGGAGTTGGTACATCTGCGGCTAAAGTTGTGACGCAGTACTGAGTCGCAAATGGAGCCTTGGCCGACAAACACTCATCGAACTGTCCGAATTGCGCTATGCTGCCTCTCAGAATACCTTGTACTGATTTTGCCGTCGAGTCTCGCACTGAAACAAAAAAAAAACGAACTAAGTGCAAATGCATGCAAATAAAAAAAAAACGTAGGAATGTATTCATATGTGTAAAGTCTTAAAATCAATCTCGAGTTTGACCTATATGCCAATATGCATATACACAGTTTTACTATTGTGCAGTTTGGCAATACAGTCAACTATTACACAATAGATTTTAATTCTTATCTAATAACTAGGAAGCTGTTCGTAACCCACTTAATTTTTTGAATTAAAACTAGTTCGTGAATTTGTAACATGCTTGTTTCGAGTCAAATTGATATTGTTAGTATGTGAATAATTTACATTTTGATGTCGGTTAATTAAAGTTGGAATATAAGCAACAAATTTGCAAGATAGATGAATAATAATTATGTATTGTTGAACTCTGGGACTTTGGGGCGAGATTTGAGGGAAAAAAAGTAATAATGATTTATTGCTAAGAATGAAGTAAATGGCTGTTTTAGAGAGTACCTAGGTATATGGGAACAGCTCACAAAGTACCTAAATTTAATTCGAAATTATCAACTCTGAGATGTGACAATGGCCGTGAATATACTACTGATGAAATGAAGGCTTTTTGCAAAGAAATGGCACATTTATTAACTTCACAACAGCCTATACATTTGAACAAAGTGGCATATCAGAGCGTTTTTGACACAAGTATTGTAGACCATAGCAAGCACTATAATTCAAGATATAATGCCAAAGGAATTTTGGAGTAATGCAGTTATAGTTAAAGCGTATGTTTTGAATAGAAGTCCAAGTGATGTTACACGGATCACAACAGTAAAAATTTTGAATGCAAAGAAACCAAACATTAGCAATTTGAAAGTCTTCAGTATACTGTCATATCCCAAAACAATTTAGAGATAACTTTGTTTCGAAAACAAAGAAGTGTTGTGTGGATCTAACAAAAAATAATGATAAAGATAAATGATGAAAATGAATAATTATCTTATAAAAACAGAGGAATAGAGACGAACAATAAAACAGAAATTCAAGAGGAAAAGGTGATTATAGAAGATAGGGAACATGAACAAAAGAACATAACTAAAAGAGGGAACAAATATAATATAATAGACAAGAAATAGAACAAGAAAAGAAAAATAGGCGATTACCAACCAGAAACAGTGATTTTGAAACGAACATTGAGTAATGGCTTCCGATGGAATATTCTATTTGGAATATCTACCAAGAACAGTAGAAGATTTGAATGATGGAAGGCATCAGAATTTATTTATGGATTGGATAGTAATTCATTTATCCATTTAAGTATAAAAAATACATACATTTGAAGTTGTAGAGAATTTAAATGTAAAATAATCTGACCTAAAATAATTGTCTTGGCCTGCGTCTCAAATTATTTCAAGATAAACTAAAAAAGTAAACCCTCATAGAACTTATTTACATTGGCAGATATTCTATTAACAGTATTGAATAGTAACTAGCAAGTTCGACAGTAAGGAATGTGCAGTAAAGCTTTAAATCGTGTCCGATAATTTTGAGTGTGTACATTAAACATTCAAGATATTCGTCGCTTTTTATGTAGCAGTTAAGGATATTAAGAGCAAAACAGACATCAAATTATTCCCTTCTGCGAACAAGAGTAGTGAAGTCCAAGTAACTTGAAGTAAGTAATAGCCTCATCATCACTGATAATTACACAACTCAGAGAAAGTTGGTATCTTGCAAACTTTTTGTTGAACACTGTCAAGCCTATTTATGCGGGTAGTAGGGTGACCAAACTATGCATGACAATTCAAGAACGGATCTGAGTACTGATGTGTAAAGAATTTTGATAGGGCGTATATTTGTAAAGTCCCTAGTAGCTCTCTTAATAAGAAGCAACATTAAATTAGTCCTGCATGATGAATGAAACTTCAGGAAAGCGAACATTATTTAAGCAATACTGAAAGAGAACCTTGAAGATTAGTCTACTGAATCTTATACAACAACACTTATCAATGTTCAGGGACATGTCATTAGGTTGACACCAATCATAAACAATGTTAAGATCAAAAACTTAACTTGCTCTTCATTTTCATATTCAATGTTAAGATCGTTTTGCAGAATAAGTATCTCTTGAGCTGACGCCCCCTAACGATACAACTTCAAGTCATCAGCGAAGAGTGAAAAATTTTAGGAGAGCAACTCAACGACCCTATACCATTAATAAATAAGCTGAATAGAAGGGAGCCCAAGTGCCTTGGGCTACTCCAGAGGATGCATGGAAAAAGAGAAGATAGCCATTAATCTCCTCCACCGATGCTTCACCAATTGACAGGTGATGAGATTTATAGCAATTATTCACTGCCAGAAGGCTCCACCTCCACGACCTTTAGCACTGTTTAGACTGCTCCTATCAGAGCGATGAACCGTGTCACGTGACGTGAGTCAAGAAATTCAGCATCACAGATACTTCAGAGTCCAGCCAGGTTTTCGTAAGTTCAATCACTGAGAACGGCTCGGCGCGAGCAGCACAAAAATCATATTTGAGTTTTGTTTTCAAGCGTCTTACATTTTGGTACAGACAGGTATTATCATCTAATGAGACTAGAATCTCTGTCTCCTCTCTGGAAGTTGCTGTGGACGATTTTGCCCTCATACGACGAGGATGAAATTTCTTGACAGCAATGCCTATAGAATAGAGGTTTGGATCTTGCAGGCCCTTCAAAAGTGATTCTTTAACCCCAATTTTAAACGAAACCACGTCATCATTTTTATCCGATACCAAGCATTTGACATCAGAAATGAAAAGCCAATTCTTCAAATTTAGAGATTTGTTTTTCAGTAGTACTCGGATCACATTGATCCAGGTGTAGCCACTGATGCTGAGGATAGACCTCTGTCACTGTCAGCACCTGTGCTGATTAATGAAGGATTGTTACTTGAGCGCACTGATTGGTGCTCTATGCTGCGGACAGGACGCTGGGACTTTTGCTGATCATCTAGTTGCAAACTATATTGGATAAATGAAAGCTTTTTGATTCATTCCTAATGGGTACTGACTGTAGAGAAGGTTGGAATTGAGATGGGGTTGGCGAAAGACCTGAGGAGTTTGATACAGTTTTCATAGAATTCAGGGTTGCAGTAAGTAGCTGAAGCACATTTTTAAGTTTGAGTAGATTCGCCTGTAAATATTTTCTACTTTGTTCCAGTGGCGGCTCGCCCTAAGGGGCCAAGGAGCCGTGACACTGGCGCAAAATATGTCGGTCCTTTCAAAATATTTTTTTTTTCCATTTCAATTGTTATTACAATCCTCAGGTCAAACTACTTATCATTTTATAATTTGATCCCGACGAAAAAATTCTTCTAGTTATTATTCCTAGATTTCCTAGACAAATAATTCATGCGACTGACTAAACTAAACTAGCTGGACTATCCGTCTGAGCACATCTCACAACGGCCCCGCGGCAACATGGCAGTACGTTGGAAAAGGCTACTCGAGGTCACGCCGCGCTTGCACTAACCACTTGTTTTTATACGTGTAAACGGGGCCACCTGATCGAGCGGCTCGGATTGCTTTTTGAGGCAATTCACCATATTAGTTAGGTTAGGAAAAATCGGGCGCGAAATTTAAAATGGGTTCCTAAACACATTTCAACAAATTTGACAGCAATGTATTTCTTATGGGGGATTCAAAAGAGTGATTTTCAGACGGGAATATCTTGGGTTCTGGGCATTTCTTAGTATTTGAACCGTTTATACGTCAAACTTTGAACCTATTTCTCTATAATTCATGCTCTTATTGTTTTTTTAGACCTATGAATTAAAAATACAAATGATTTTAATTAAAAGTGTCCGTTTTCGGTGGTACGTCCACCGTCGGGTCTAAAACCAGCTGTAAGAAAGTGAGGTTGTGTGTTGTGTTATGATTGTTGGTGAATTGTTTATTTATTTATTTATTTATCACTAGTTCAGTCATTTGTTTTTCCATTTTTTTGGATTATTGAAGTACATCTACTAACCAAGTATGTAGGTACACTTTTATTTTATTATAATTATAGGTACCCATATATACTTGTGGATCAAGCAACGACATACGTATTTTATACAAACATCGACTTCTTAAATTGCTAATATTTTTATTTTAACAATATTTATTCAACTTTCAAACACTCTCTCAGTTAATTAACATAATAAAAAAACTATTTATACAACTCACTTCCCTAACAAACGTTCTATCACGTCTACAGACGCTTTTAAAATTGAGTCCCCATAAGACATCAATGTATTAATTTTTGAACTAGGAACCCGCGCCAATTTGCGATTCTAACCTAACTAATATGGTGAATTTGAGCTAATTTTAATAGTTCGAGTGGGTTGGCGGGCGTTGTGCGGTGCGTAAATGCATCAGCGAGTCGGTAATTGAAATTCAAATTAGTAATTTTTACCAATAAATTGACATTAGACAAAGTCAATAAAATTAGCAATTTAATAATGAAACCTCTTTACCCATTCGCAGGAGGACAAAATTCAATTCGAAGGATTTGGAAGACCTCTTTCAGATTTAGAGATGACAAAAACACAAAAAGCTTTCACCTTATTTATTATTTTGTAAAAATATCAAAAAATTACCCGAGGCGTGCTTTTTAACGACTTTTAGATCAAAATCGCGCGCTTCAGGCGGTGCACCTGTGTTGGGCTTCCCCCCCGCGGGTGTGCATCGCCAACTTGTGATCTAACCAGCCGCCACTGCTTTGTTCCCATTCCTCTACCTCCATATCATACATAGCAGATGCTGTTGAGCTGATGTCAGGGAAGTTAGCAACACATTCAAAGCAGGATCGCTAAAACATGTTCCTGCTTGTGCTGCAATGGTCCTGCTTCATCCTGCTTTAAACCGCAACCCAGCAACACCCACCGTTTTCGAAATATGTCGTGTTCCATTTTGGTTGCTAACTTCACCCTTGGCCACACAATGGAAGCAGGATCGCTGAAACATGTTCCTGCTTGTGCTGCTATGGTTCTGCATCATCCTGCTTCAAATCTGA